TACAAATCTGTCTAATGGTGCTTTTTTGGATTAAAGTTCTTACACAGAAACAAAACGAGCCCTGGGGCTGTTTATAAATATATATCAGCCTGAAATGTTGAATAATATGATTAAGGCTGAAACACTTACAGTGGTCTGAATAGCCTGTAATATGAGTGCAGCACTTTATTGATCCAAGTATTGACCAGCAACATATGGACCCCAGGCATGCTCTGTGGTTCCCATGGGAACAAGTATTGACCAGCAACATATGGACCCCAGGCATGCTCTGTGGTTCCCATGGGAACAGCAGGGAGGGGTGGTATTGCTGATAATCAAGCAAGCTATCAGTCCGTACCTGTCCCCCGCAGGAGACAGCTTTGATCATTTATAAACTTAAGATGACAGGACAAAGAGAAGGGAAGAAAGGCCTAATGGAGGAGAGATGATTTCCCTTTCAGAGGAAAACCTTGTGTCAAGACATGAATTACTGACCCTAAATACTCATTGAATCACATATAACAACAAAAGGCCTTATCTAGAGCCAGTGTTTGGTTTGTTTGTTCTGGGCAACTGTAGAACAACATGGTGGACTCTGCTACCTATGTAGATATAACCGCTCATTCTAAGGGAATGAAAACACAACAATTCTTATTTTCAGGTGATTATTCACTGATGAAAACATAGTTATGAATACCTTTTCTGCCATTAGATGCTCCTAAATAAAACAGTAAAAATTTTACATTCATACTAATTCTTACTGTAAGAATTGGAGACGGCCATTAAAGGGATAGTGCACCCAAAAATGAAAATTCAGCCATTATCTACTCACCCTTATGCCGAGGGAGGCTCAGGTGAAGTTTTAGAGTCCTCACATCCCTTGTGGACATCCAAGGGCAGAGGGGTAGGAGCACAACTCCATCTAATGCAGGCTGACTGCACCCAGATTAAAATGTCCAAAAAAAACACATAATTGAAACCACAAAATATCTCCATACTGCTCGTCCATAGCGATCCAAGTGTCCTGAAGCCCCGACATAAAAAGTTGGAAAAATGTCATTTGAACTCTGTTTTAGCCTTATTGTAGCCTGTAGCTCTAACTGCCTGTCTGTGGACCGCGCTCACGTATGTGCTCTTGCGCAAGACCGTGAGACATGGGCACCTCCTTCATGTGTGTTCACGTGCTTTCGCTGGTCTTGCGACCAATGTATGAGTTTGGTGTACACAGAAGCAGTTAGAGCTACAGGCTACAATGAGGCTAAAAAACAGAGTTCAAATGACGTTTTTCCAAACAACTTTTTATGTCGGGGCTTCAGGACACTTGGATCGCTATGGACGAGCAGTATGGAGATATTTTGTGGTTTCAATTCTGTGTTTTTTGGACGTTTGAATCTGGGGCGCCCAGCCTGCATTAGGTGGAGTTTTGCTGCTACCCACTCTCTCCTTGGATCTCCGCAAAGGATGTGAGGACTCTAAAACTTCATCTGAGCCTCCCTCGGCATATGGATGAGTAGATAATGGCTGAATTTTCATTTTTGGGTGCACTATGCTTTTAAAATCTGGATTTTTTTTGGCATTCCACCAGCCTACCAAAGAGGCAGCCCACTGGGATTTTTTCCAGTATGCCTGACAACCAGTACACCACTGGTTTAAACACTTTTTCTGATTATGTGACCATTGTTTTAGTCTATATAATGTATGAAAATGGAGAAAAACTCCATCACAACCTCTCAGAGCCAGATGTGCCATCTCCAAATTGCTTGTTTTGTCCAACCAACAGTCCAAAACCGAAAGATATCTAATTTGTGTTTCTGATTTTAATGATTTTACTGTCTTTGAATTGACTTTCTCTCTCTTTTTTTGCGGATCCGTGAACACAGAACTATTCATGAGCTTCTTCTCCTCTGCAGCAGTTTGTTAAGTTAAAGTAGCAAAGTGGAGACTGATGTGTTTGTGGTCAATTAGTCAGAGCTGATCAGATGAGATCGACAGATTACAGTAAGTAGGCCAGGAAAAAACGATGGCCAAAACCTAAATGAAAGCGATGTTCTTAGAAATAGAGCGCTATATTTCTATATGAATTAATGAACACCGAAGTTTCACTTTCACTGCGCCTGGCACTCTGCTTATCTGTCAGTGTATGCTCTGTGCTCCAAGAGATTTGTCCTCTGAATAACTGAACGGTATATACTAGCCTATATATATTCTAACAGCACTCCAAATAAACTCTAAAAACAGAAAATCAATATGTGGCGGCAAATGCTGATATCGTGTTGGGCCACCACAAATAAATGAATGTGTATGAAACCCTGCAAACTGTCATATTGTTGCTTTAATGTATTTTTAATGCACTTGTGTTTGACTGCAATCCCATCCTACAGCTGGGGATAGATCTCTGTAACTGTATTTTGTGTTTAACAAGCAGTGGCCATATATTCCATATGGCTCAACATGACATTAACAATGTGTCACGTGTCAACAACGTGCCTCAGGTTTTACGCTACATCAAACAAATTAAACGTTCTTTCACAGACCATCTGCGGTGATAACATTCATCACATCAGGTTCTGTTGGTTAATGGCACCTTATCTTCCTCAGCTACTGTAATTGCACAGTGTGTACTGTAGGTTTAAGGTGATGTATAACATACAGCTAGGCCAGGGCTCTTAGTGACAGGCCTGGGAAGTGGATTACTCTTTAAAAACTTACGTCAGCCCACCACACACCCACACAGCAGCTCCCTAAAAACAAAGCTCGTTCTGAGGAATTCCCACATCTGATCATCTTACCACTTCTGTGATCACAACCACAACATATGAGCTTTCAGCTTCTGAATAATGAATATCAAAGATGGGTCTGAAGAAACAGTCACCTCAGACAGATGTACAGATCAAACACTGCCTCATCTGTTTTTGTTCAAAAGACACTCAGCAAACAAGATCTCCCAATTTGATCTGTAAGTACAGAGTCTGCAACATCATTCATACCCATGAGGTGAAGAACACTGAAAATAATAAATATTTTCTGACATTAGTAAGAGGAAGCATTCATTTTCCAGCACCTGTTTTCCATCTCACCCACATGTACCAGCATGCAGTCCCTGCTGATGAGGGCAAGCTGCAGACAGAGCCCGATCTTCAGAGCTTGAAAGCATCATTCTCTGAGGTATATTCAGTTACATGAAAGTGCTTTCAGTAAATTAAGACTAACCGGAAACATAAGAAACACATGCCAGAGAAATGACTGATTGCAGCTCGAACACTTAAGGGAACACACTTATAAGTGTGCCAGCACTGCGAGCAAAGTCAAATAAATATGCGCTTAATTTTCATTTCAATAACAATAAAAATTTTCGCCAACATCTGTTGTGCTTTAGGAAAACTGGTATTAATCATGAAGTTGTATCTGTCTGGGAACATGTTAAGTCTGCAGAGATGCGCCTGCACACTTCATCACCAACGTCTCAGCTGTCTTGGCTTCAACCACAGGGATGAAAATGCATATGAGCAAACGAGCACCAATAAACACCCGCACACAGGCCTGCTGAGGTGACGCATGACTCGCTAATTACTCAATAACAGGGTCTTCAACTATTCAGAATGACATGCTACTGACCGGGCCTGTAAGTCTAGGATGTTTGGTAGAGATGATACACTTATGAATATTGATGGGTAAAAATAAAACAGGGTTATAAAGTGATCAAATCTAGAGGACAAAGACTTATTCTAGAGGACAAAAGTGGAAGTTCCAAAACTAAAAATGGCCACTGAGATAACACTAGTCTTGGTGAACCTGCAAGTTTTCTAAATTTATTCTGAATGTGAAGCATAAATAACTTACAGTACTGTACCGCTAGAACACAGATATAGCGGTGCGGTTGGGGTTTCTGTTTCCTGAAGTCTGACTCAGGCAGTAAAATGTTGACAAGCGCGTACCGTCATCACTGTTCCTACCCCAGGGACCTCTCTGCCACAGCTCTGGGCGATACTGCTGCATGCACCGAACATTAGTCAAACCTTTCAGGTTGAGGTTACCACAAAGCCTCCAGATGCAGACGGTGAGTAGTTGGTGAAGTGTAAGAACATGAACAGCACATTTTACTGCTTCCTGTAAACTACCTGATCATCAGACCACCGCTGTTTACAGCATAAATATATGAAAGCAGGGATGCCTTTAAAATACAACTCACATTAATCATATCCTCCAGCTGGTTTTTATTTCCTGAACTTCACTTTCATCAGAACCTCTGGCTAATGTTTATGGACACAGATGGGAGGCTGGGTAACCTCGGACTCCTCCCAGAGAAGCTTTGCCCTCTGGGAAAGGCAGGGCTGGACCAGTCCTCCAGGGTTGTCAGGTTTGGCACACTCCTCTTAAACAGGGACAGATATGAAGCTGAGCAGACTCACACACACGCACAGTGAGAGCATGCCTTGTGTGGCAAAGGCTGCACTCTCCGGCACACCTTTAATTAGTGGAGCCAGCCAGCAGAGCAAAGCACAAACGTTAGGGAGACTCCAGCAGGGCACGCAAACACATACCACAGCAACAAAAACATCAGCAACGGTCGCCCTACCAGCAGAGTTTTATAAGTATGTAATGATTACAGAATGATGGGAAGGAATTCATTTAAAGAGGAGAAATTCTTTAACACCAAAATGAACCTACCCCATGCTGGAAATTACCCTCTGCTGCCATTGTGCAGACATACAACTAAAACCACTTTAAAAATCTAATTTTCTGTCCCCCTTTCAGTTCAAACTTTCTCTGACTTCTACTGATTTTGCTGTAATGTTTGGTTCATGTTTTGACAAATGAATAAATGACACATCAGGATGTCAGCTTTTTCTTCCTTTTCCACTGTAAAATGTAATATTTGCTCAACATGCTGACACATTGTGATTCAGAGGTCTAATCTGCCAAAAATGCTAAGGTTGAACCATAAATTAAAAGTTACAGAGAGAGTGAGAGGGAGTGTAAAAATGACAAAAATGGATAGTAAAGGTCAAATGTGAACTCACAGTGAGTGGCAGGGAGCAGACCACAAAGATGACGGTGATGAGCGCCAGCAGCACCAAGTGGTCCACCTCTTCTTCCCCCTGTGCGAACCAGGCCAGGCTCAGCCTCTTCCTTCTCCCCGTTGACCCGACGGAGCCGCGCCGCATCATCTGGCTCCGGTGCATCTGGCACAGGCTGACAATCACTGAACCATTGCACACAAACACTGCAAAGATCAGCAGTGCCATGAGGGACGAGTAGGACAGGGAGAAGGCCAGTACCAAGCTGGCCTTCTCATCCCCTGTCGCATCCATGTCAATGAAGCACCACGTCCCGGGACAATACTGTCTGAATTTGCCATAGCCACTGTATGGCAGGAGGCAGAAGGCCAAAGAGAAGATGTAAATAAATAAAAGAGTGAATTTGGCAAAGCTTCTGCGGATGTGTACAGAGTAAAAGTAAGGATGGCTGATGGCCAGGCATCTCTCCACAGCCATGGCGCACAGGATGAGCGTGGGCGCCAGGCCGAAGAAACTCATGGCAAAGCCAAAGAGGTTGCACAGGCCTGCACCTCCCAGACTTATCAGGGACATGTTGCGGGCGTAGCAGATGAACACAGGTGGGCTGAGGAGGCAGGTGCCCAGCAGGTCGGTGAGGGCCAGGCCGGTCACCAGGATGCAGAAGACAGAAGACCTGGAGCGATGCTCCTTCTGGTGCACCCCGAGGATGAAGAGAGCCAGGAGGTTCCCCACCACAGCAGCCATGAACATGATGATGCTTGTTGCTGGCTTGCCAGTCCCATTAACGATGAGAGTTTCATTACAGGTGGTGTGATTGCATGATTCGTTTGACACCATGCTTTTGTTCATGTTCAACATACTGCAAAGAAATGTGCCTGCTCAGTGTGAAACTAGTAAGGAAATCCCACTGAACAAAAGGAGAACCTGACTTCTTGATACCATCATTTGGCAACTCAGAAGGCAGGGCTGTATGGACAGACCCATAATGCTGCGCTGACTCAACGTGGTTCTCTGTTTGCCTCTCTCATGCACAGTTTTGAAATCTTCCTGTGAAACAAATAACACAAGAAAAACACAAAATAAAACCTTCAATCAAGCAGTGTGGCATCACGTTAAAGTTTCCTCCTCAGTACATTAATGTATTTATTCTACATCTGAATCACACATTCTTCTTAAAGTGACTAACAATCACTCACCTTTCACTTCACTGGATCTGTCGAAGAAAAGCAACTGAAACTATTTAAAAGTAACTCCTTCTTCTTCTGCTCGTCTTTATTTTCCCGCAGATTCAGGCTCCGAGGTCGTTAAATAATAGTTTGAAACCGGTGCTGCCGGTAAGGTGTCGGCAGATACACAGTGAACTCACGGGACTCTGAGAAAGACTGAACACGCTCCACTTTGCTCCGCTTACTTTCTCCGCCTGTCTCTGTGCGCCTCCCAGTTTCGGATTGATGTGTAGTCCCACCCACTGTACCGCTGCTCTGACAGACACTGACAGATAACTGACTATTGAAAGGGTCATTTAAGCCAAATAACAGCGTACACATTAGAGAGAATCTACCCGTCTCTGCTTGTATGTGTCCAGAAATAGAAGCACTATGAGAACACTGGTTATAAATGCCTCACCCCTCAATCAGATTTGTTCTCAAGTTGAGATAAAAGCTGTAACTTATGGTGTGATCCTTCTTGTGTTGTACTATAGACTGTCAGAAACAACAAAACAAAGACAACAGGGTGAAATGATTACGTTTCAGGGGCCCCAGCTACACACACACGCACACTCACACTTTGGTCAGTGGGTTAATTCAGGGTGAGTGGGACATCAGGTTGGGTGGGACAGTATAAGTAAATTGGCTGTATTTTCTCCCCTGGTCATCGAAAATAAAAACTTTTTTTTGCTGAGCCTTGCTGTGAAACCACATTATCAGAGTTGCTTACACTCATTGGTGTGATGTCACATGTGGGGGCGGGGCCAACATCAATCAGGAAGTTGACCCTGCATAACCCAAGGTGAGGAAAATGGCATAAGATTTTGATTGTTATGATCATAAGGTTATAAAAATGTTTTCGCCACGATATTGCAGAAATATTTGCTGGAAACATGAATTTGATGCACTTCTACAATAAAATCAGAAAAAAAATGTTAAGATTATGTTTACATTTATGGAATTAGGCTATTTTTATTTTGTCCCACCCACCCAAACTGTGTTTGGGTGGGTGGGGCAGCATGGTTTTGGGTGAGTGGGACAGCACCAAAAGGCACTCTTAATGAATAAAAATGATCAATCCTGCCATAGGGAATCATTATATATGTTCCAGATTAATAGTTCCTAACCTTCTTGTGTGTGCAGACCCAAAATCTACCACACAATTGTTGATGGAGCACCTCAATTTTACTGCTAGCCCGACTACCTAGCTAACAAAACAGCTAGCATAAACAGCAAGTGTACCCAGCCTACTAGGGATGCATGATAACAGATTATTTCCCAGGATCTAATTTGCAAATTGTCCCCAACTCTTCAAGCCTATTGTTGATGATAGGATATATAGAGGAACACACACACACACACCAGCCAATACAAACTGCACGCATGCACACACAGACACACACTCACACACACACACACACACACACACATACACACACCCCTGCCAATACAATGCAACACAGTTATCAGATAATATGTGTACTAGATGCAGACAGTAGGGAACATTTGTTCATCAAGTGTCAACCTATACAAAGTTTAGACTTGATTTCTTTCCAAACTAATCCTGATTAATCCACTGCAGAAAGAATGGCACCAGAGAGGCAGAGAGGGAATGAGAAGGCAAGAAGAAAAGTACAGGGAGAGAACAAAAAGTTAAACAAATGTGTTGTCCCACTCACCCAAATCTCACACACAAAAACGAATTTTAGTCAGTTCACAAAAAAGGGTATGCCATGCATCCATGGAACATAATCAGATCTTCTTTCCTCCTCAAATGGATAGGTAACATCTTCAGCATTACAGAAATGTATCATATGTTGGGTTATTTTTTGAAATCCATAGCCAGAAATCTCACACAATGCAGAAAACCGAAAACTGTCCCACTCACCCTGAACTTACCCTATTGGCTTGTTCCCCGTGTGAGCTCAGAAAAAAATGTAATCCAATTAGTCTTTTGTGTAAGTATTTGGTTTGGCAGTGTCTCCTCTTGGTTTTTAAAAAGGTGTTTTGAATAGCCTTAATCTCGGCTAGTTTACATTTCACGCAGCCTTTGCCGCAACTTGACTGTGAACCAGTGCTTTGGCTGAATTCAAATGCCATGAAAGCAAGTTTCCCCCGCTTGTTTTTGCTGGTGCATTTTTCATTTCTGGATGCTTTACTTTGTGTTGTTTTTCTGCAGTCTACAGTAAAATACCTGTGTGGGGAGAGAGGTAAAACCCCTAGGAGTGTGTGTGTGTGTGTGTGTGTGTGTGTGTGTGCTCTTGAAGAGAGTGCATGCTTTGATCTAGCCCTCAGGGTTAAGATGAATATGCTGACAAATATTTGACAACTTGAAGAGAGTGTGACAAAACAGGAGGAAAAACAGAAAAAAAGCTGTTCAGAAAACACAGTTTATGGGGCAAGGGTGTGTTTGGGAAAGATGTGAGATCATTTAGTGATTTAACAGTACTATACAATAATTTAAAATTACAGATAAACCTTTAGCATATAAAATTATCATCAACTAAATATGCAGCTTGGAAAATGGGTGGGCGGTGCTGAGTTTTCGGGTTGACTGTTTCCAACACAGAGGCTGGGTCACAAACTCTCCCCGCGCTCCAAATCCAAATCATACTTTCTCTTTTTACTTTTAGTAGGCACTGCAGCTGCCCTACAGAGTATGTACTGTTGCATGCAGTATGTAATCAATCTGGACACACTACTTCTTCATTACATTAAGCCCTGAACTTTGACCCTTTAGCTAATCTATCCATTACTTTGGAGACAAAACAAAATGTCATTCGCCGACCTCACCAGAGGTCAAGCTCTGCTGTTGTTTACTTTGCAATGTATGTAGTTTTTACTATTAAAGGATTAACAGAGAGTTACTGCCTCTAGCAAAGGAGTTCAAGTATCTTGCGGTCTTGTTCACAAGTTAGGGTAAAACTGAGTGTGAGATGCAGTGATGCGGGTGCTTTCGATTTACTGGTCCATCTTCGTCCCAACCCTCACCTATGGTCATGAGCTCTGGGTAGTGACCGAAAGAATGAGATCGTGGATACTAGCCACTGAAATGAGTTTTCTCAGAAGGATGGCTGGGCTCAGCCTTAGAGGTTGAAGAGCTCGAACATCCGGAGGGAGCTCGGAGTAGAGCCGCCGTTCCTTCACATCGAAAAGGGGTCAGCTGAGGTGGTTCAGGCATCTGATCAGGATGCATCCTGGCGCATCCAGCTGGAGATGTTCTGGGCACGTCCCACTGGTAGGAGGCCCCAGGGCAGATCCAGAACACACTGGAGGGATTACATATCTCATCTGGCCTGGGAACATCTCGAGGTCCCCCATGAAGAGCTGGAAAGCTTTGCTGGGGAGAGGGATGTCTGGGGTGCTTTGCTCAGCCTGCTGCCCCCATGACCCGGCCCCGGATAAGCAGATGAAAATGGATGGATGGATGGACCAAAGGTAGTGTTTATTGGTCCAGTGCAGCAGAGTGCATTCTGGTTTTCTACCTCTTAAGCAAAGAGAAACGAAGATGGATGTAATAACAGCATAAACTGTAGTTTCGAACATATTGTATTCAGTACAGTAAATTACATCTACATTTCTCTGTCTCTGTTATTTTCATTTTTTATTGTTTATTATCTTTATGATTATTTTGTTAGTATTCCTATTAGAACTATTCAAGTGGTGATCCATCCATCCATCATCGCTACTTGTTACAGCTGTCAACCTTGTCAACCTCAACAAGCTGTCAAGTTGTCTGTGGCTTAGTTGACAAATCGTCTGCTTCACAGAGAATTGTGGGTCAGAGTAGTTAGAAAACATGCTGGCTTACATTCTGTGCAATCCAACTAGAATATCCTGGTATTTTTGGCACACTACATTTGACATACTATGTACTGGGACATACCAAATCTTTTTTTTCTGGCTTACTAAATAATATGCTAGTACAGGTATTGGAATGCACAGTTTTTCATTTTACAGCTAAACAGTAAAATATATTTCTGAAAACATCTGAGGTGAGTAAAAGGGCAATGCAGCTACAGAGCCTTGTTTTATATTTGAACAGCACTGCCTAGTTCACAAGCAGTGATTGACATGATTGACAGATGCCTTAGAGACTCCTTGGCTCTGATTGGTTGTTTTCATTCATGTATGGTAATACCCTTAGAGGCTTTACAAGGCAATAAAGTAGGCAGAGGAATATGATTTTATTCACATAATATCTGTGTCACGTAGATAGTGACAGTTTCAGTACTTACGGCAAAACCTTTTAATCAAAGTAACCAATGACGTTCAGATCTGCTGTGATCCGAATCGCACTCCTTTTCTTTTTACTTCAAATTTAATGCTACAGACTGCGACAGATATATAAGTAAGAGAGTAACTTGTTAATGATCTGGGTAAAATGCTTCAGCCTACAGTTGCTTTGCAGTTTGGTCTTGATGATGACTGTATTTGTTTCATATCATGCTCATTGCAATAAATCCTACCTGGAGGCAGTGGTGCATTCCACAGCCATGGTACACCTACACAGGTGTTTTCACTTTATGCGCCTGATTAGAGCTCTTCTCTGGACTGTGTTGCTGTGAGCAGGCTGTGGAGGATTTCTCTCACACACTGTTTTGTTTTGCCAGTTACAATTTTTCCCTTTCTAATTATTGTCATCCTTTGTTCACACTTTGATTATTGGTACATGTAGTTTAATGTTACATGATTTCCAGCATATATTTTTCTCAGTTTTAACCTGAGCAGAGGCCTAGTCAGATAGAGTGAAGGGAAACACCAGAGTGTGTGTGTGAGTGTGTGTGAGGCCTTTAAAGAAAGCAAACTGAATCATCTGTAGGTAGAACTGTTAGAAAATACAGGAACAAATCAACAGCCGGAGCCAGCTGTTGTGATGATGCGTTGGCTGATGGATGTAAAATGACACACAATGAACACATCACCATTTCCGCAGACACAGGATGTAATAATGAAAGGCCCGAGGAGCCATTGCTGTTCTCCTTAATGGTTCCTTTCCATGACACCTAAAATTAGATGTAGCACCAATAAAATCACCACAGCCAAGAAAATGGGCGTGAATACAAACTGCTTCGTAGTAATTTCATTGCTCGCTCAGGTTCCACTGTCAGTAACTCTACTTGCTTAATGTTACTGTTTGTGTAATTTCCAGAAC